GGAGCCTGATGGGGTCATCAGTGGGTATACAACTGAAGACAATGATTTCCCTATGCCTGAATCTGTAGGTAGCAAATAGTTCAGCAGTGAGGGGTAAGGACCTCCTCCTCCATCCCTGCTTGGCTAATGATGGCCCCATTCTTGTGCAGATCAGATGTAGATACCTACAGCTCCTATGTTTGTGATAGAATTAGCCATGTCTTGTCTGGATATTATTTCACAGATTTTGTTGCTGTTTTCTGGTGCTTACATTCTTTCCTCTCCCTATCTGCAGTGTTCTGAGTCCCAGAAAAAATGCTATAAATGGTTTATTTAAAGCTGAGCACTCAGCCATAACTTGTCTCAGCACATTGTAAAGCCACGAATCTCTGCACTTATCACTGTTTACTGGAAAGAGAAGTTTCTCTGATTAAGGTTAAGAGTGGCATTTATCTATTGGCACAAGCATAAATGTTAGAAGGCAGCTTGATGCTATATCAATTTGGCTCAACACCAGTATTGGTTCCCATTTAGGTCCTATGATCTACCTGACATGGGTTCTTATCCAGGTTTCCTATTTCCTCCTGTGGAGCAGGCCTCTAATCTAATCAAAGAGCAACTGGTTACCCCTATAACCCAAGTGCCACTATTACACAAGTGGGCATATCTTGCTTAGCAGGTTAGTCTCATAGATCATAGGATTCAAAACTAGGTATGACCAATATAATCGTTTTCGATATGGCTCATTCATACTCCCTTTGCTTTGGTCAACCTCCCCCCCCGACCCCCACCCCATGCCTCCTTTTCTTTGTCTTGTCCCTCAGGTTCTTTTGTACTTTGCCTTGCCTATCTAAGGGTCACTCCTCTATGCAGATCAGGGCCTGACACCCAGCTTAGTAATATGATACCATATGTATGAATTGTCCAGAAAAGGCAAATTTGTAGTGACAAAACTTGACTAGCATTTGACTGGAACTGGGCAAGGAATGGACACAAGAATGTTTTGAAAGTAACAAAATGAAAATTCTAAAATGAGGGCTGGAAAGATGCCTCAGCAGTTAAGAGCACTGGCTGCTCTTGCAGAGGACCTGGGTTCGATTCACAGCACCCACATAGCAACTAACAACTGTCCCTAACTCCAGTTCTGGGGAAACCGATGCCTGCTTCTGACCTCCTCAGCCCTCTTCTGACCTTGGACATTGCAGGACATGGGTGCACTTACACACATGTAGGCAATACACTCATACACATAAAAAAAATTCTAAAATGAGGTTGTGATAATAGTTCTATAGTTCAATAAATTTTCCAAAAAAATTAATTATATGTTTAAGACATATAATGACTTATGACATGCAGTGTATGCCTTAATTATGTTGTTAGGGATGAAAAAATGTAAAGAGTAGCCACATTTTTAGTTTGCTAACTGCACCGATTGTTAAGGTGACTAAAACATGAAATGAGGGGTCAGCAAGATGTCTCACATGACAAAGATGCTTTCCACTTCACAATGCAAGCCTGACAACCTGAGTTCAATCTCCAGAACCCACGTTAAGGAGGAAGAAGAGAACAGACTCTAAAGTTTTTCTCTGACCTCCATGTGTGAGCTATGGCACACACTCTCTCCCTCACATCATACACATGAACACATACACTAATAAAAAATAAAATAAAGCATGTTTTAAAAAATAAATAGATGAAACAAAAATAAAACAGGTATTCATACTGAAGCATTTCACTTACATATATTAGAATACCAAAATAACATTCGACATTTGTGTTCTCAGACTAATTTTTAATGAAAAAATTTTGGTCCTATCCCAAGGAGGAAGTTACCAGTTTCCAGACCACTGGCTACAATATACCAAGTTGTATGTAAATATTCCGTCCTTTTACACATTGCTCACACCCTTGACTCTGAGTGGTTACTGTTGTATGCAATAGTATTTTTTTCATGGTAAAACTTTCACAAAGAAAAACATGATCAACAAAAATCAATTAAAGCATTTTTAGAATTCTTGTTCATAACTAAGATACAAGTAGAATTTAGGATGGGTGTTTTAATCTGATCAGGGAATTGAGATTCATTTTTAGGTATGTAGTATCTGTTCTTGGTGTGCCTATTAACAGTTGTTTGAATGAATAGTTAAGATTGGAGATTTATTTACTTACTTTAAAATACTTTATTATTTTTTTATTGCCTGCATGTATGTAAGTGCACCTATGTCATGCAATGTCCATGCCCAAAGAGGTCAGAAGAGGATGTTGGATCCCCTGGAACTGTAGTTACGGATGGTTGTTAGCTGTCATGTGGGTGCTGGAATCAAACAAGGGTCCTCTAAAAGAGCGGTCAGTGACCTTTTACCTGCTGAGCCATCTTTCCAGTCCCAAGACTGGAAATTTAAACTTTAAAGTTATTTAAACTAGAAGGCAGAATGTCATCACAATAGGTAAATGAAAGTGCACAGTTTGTTCAAAGGAGAATGTCAGTAGAAGGAAGAAGCAGAAAACCATGTTCTTTTGAGGGAGTCTGGAGTTGCCTTCATTAATGTATTGAACCAGAATGGTTATTTGTGGAGACAAACAGCTGCCTGTGTCCACAGAGACTATGCTGAGAGGCCATGCTTTTAAGAAGATGCCATAGTTATGTGAAGGAATGGGTCTCCTGCCCAATTGGTTAACTTGATGGGTTAGAGGAAGGTCGGCCTTTTCCCTGGAGATCTGAACACTCCAAAGAATTTGAGCATAGGTATTTTTTCATAACGCTTCCAAAAGTAAAGAATTCGACATATTTTGATAAGAAACATACTTTTCCCTACATGTTCAGAACTTAATATAATTTCAAATTTAATATTTATTTAAGATAGCAAAATATGAATTTTCCAAAGATTTAAGAAATTTATGACTTGGCAGTTTGTGGTACAGGAAGCATGCTTATTTATAAGGTTGGTATAGCTTCCTATTCACATAAAAAATGGTCTTTTTGAAAATACAATTTGAAGCCAGCACATCTGTTGTTCTTATGAGGGGATTAAAATGAGCTATTTTTGTGGAAGCTCAGTTGCAGAGGAAAAGAACTTTAAACAAGCTTGTCAAAAGAATTACTTGTTCTAAATTTTGTTTCTTTATATTGAATTTATTTATTTTTACGTTAGCCTACAAAGTACATTGAACTTTTTGAATGTTCTTTTTCTTTATATGAGGAAGCCCCGTATTTCATTATGCCATGTTTTATGGGGAAGCCTCATGTTTTATTAAACAATATTTTATGTGGCTTTAAGTTTTGTTTTGTCACATGCAACATTTATATGATATTTTAATCCTTCTGTGGAATTCTGAATGTTAAATTGTTAACCAAATTCGATTTTCACATTAACAGCTTTTCATAAAAGTCATTGTCACTTCACGAGGAGTATTGTCACTTATGTTTGATTCACCGTGAATGCTGGAGAGTGTCTTATATTTTGAGTGTGCTGGATAGCTTTAGTTGTCAACTCCTGGAGAGAGGGAACCTCAACTGAGAATTTCCTTCCTCGGATTGGCCTGTAGGGTGTTTCTTGATTGTTGAGTGAGTGGGAGGGCCCAGCGCACTGTGGGAGATGCCACTCCTGGGTAGGCGGGCCTGTGTTTTATAAGAAAGTGGTCTGAGCATAGGCCAGGGAAGCAAGCCTGTAAGCAGGTTTCTCTATGGTCTGTGCTTCAGCTCCTGCCTCCAGGCTCCTGCCCCGAGTACCCTTAGTGATGAACTATGACCTGGGAGATGTAAGATCAAAGAAATCTTCTCCCTCCCAAATTGGTTTTGGTCAAAGTGTTCTATCACAGCAATAGAAAACTGAGTAATTAATGAACCTTATAATCTTTCCAGAAAGAGAAAAATCTCTTTTCTACAAATTACATATTTCTGCTACAAAAAAAAGAAAAGAAAACCCAATGCAAACCACTATATGGGTCAATCCTTAGAAACTGATCTTTCTCTGATTCTATAAAAGAATTGCAGCAACAGCACTCAAAAATGATTCACTGTTTTTTTAATATTGACTGATCATCCAAATGGTTTAGTGAAGTAAATTTAGACATGAAGAAGATAGACTAGAAACACCCACTTCAGGCCTTTGGGTCACCTGCAGTCTGATTCGGTCCTTACACTTGAAAGCAAATGAATCTCCTAAATATCCCTGGACCACACACTTTGAGATGTAAGGACAGTAGCCATAGGAGATTCTGCCTGGGCATCTAATGCAACATGCTTTACTGAGACTTCAGTTATCATCACGAGAGCAGGGCAATGGTTACCTGCTAGAGAGCAAAGATTATATGACATTAAACTGCCTGTAAAGAATCCATGAATACAGGTCTTTGTATTTCTTTCTTCTAACTGAGTTAACCACAGAATGATACAGAAATGGTTGGTAGCTTGTTAAAACTAGATGTTTATAAACAGTTTAGTATGCTCACCTTTATTTTCTAAACTTTTGTTCTCCTAGACTGAAAAGAAAATGTGTGTTAGATATAAAGAGGAATTATCCTTAAGGCAGATATGTTCAGAGCCCAGTTGGGGCCTATCAGTGTATACAGAAGACTAAGGGAAGAGGGGTCCTAGAGAAAAACAAAACCCTTCATCCCACCATTGCCATGTGGCATGTTGGAACTAGCATAGCTAGAAATTCCAAATTTTGAAAAAAAGCCTGAAATACAAATTTCATGTGAAATTTCCCAGTTTTACAATTTTGGCTACCAATTCAAATTCTTTAAAAATATTCTAGCCAAGAAGACACATCTGTGTACCAGATACAGCCCATGAGCCACCCATCTACAATGCCCAGCTTAGAATACACCGAAGTTTCTTAATATGCTTCTTGTGATTGAAAAATTATGAAATTTCAAAATGAAATGTTCTGGTTTTTTGTCTAAAGGGGCTTTGGTCAGAGGGAGAAGTCTCTATTGTATGCATTTTCCAGTGCTGATCTAAGATTGATATATATATGATCATAAAAGCTTTCTTTTCCTCTTCTCTCACATTCCAGATTACAGGACAGGCCCATGCTTCACACAGGTCAATAATCAGATGTGCCAGGGGCAGCTGACAGGCATTGTCTGTACGAAGACGCTGTGCTGTGCCACCATTGGACGAGCCTGGGGCCATCCCTGTGAGATGTGTCCAGCCCAGCCTCAACCCTGCCGCCGGGGCTTCATCCCCAACATCCGCACGGGAGCATGTCAAGGTGAGTCTACCACAAATGTCGCCTGTTTGATTGGAGTCTGAAAGCCTGGCACTATGGGCGGGAGCCTCAAACACAATACCCATTTCCAAGGCAGGGTTGTCACAGAAGTCTGACTAGAGAGACTTGATATCTTAGTCACCTAAAAGCTAATGGTTCAATTCTTTTTGTAAAAAACATTTTTAATTCATTTTTATTTTATGTGTATGACTATTTTGCCTGCATGTATGTAAGTGCACTACATGCATGCAATGCTAGCAGAGACCAAAAGGGGGCATTGGATACCCTGGAACCGGAGTTAAGGACAGTTAGAAGTTGCCATGTGGATGCTATGAACCGAATCTAGGTCCTCTGCAAAAGCAGCCATTATTCATAACTACTGAGACATTTCTCCAACCCCAGTTATTTCAACTCTTGATATTCATGGAGAAGAAAGAGATGAAAAATAAGGGAATTTAAAAATATACCTTAATCCAATGCAATGAGAGGACAGGCTACTCTGTGTTTTTACCTTTCTGCTCCCCAAGTGTACACATGAGTTCTCTAGGAAAGATTCATTTCTTTTCTCTCCTGATCACATGCAAACCCTAAGAACCAAAACCTCAGTAGCGTGGAGAGAAAGGCTGCCCCCAAATCACCCTGTATTGTTTTAGTAGTGTGTACAAAGAGAAAGGGTGACAATCGAATCTCCAGGTAATCTCTTGGGACTCCTGAGCCCCATAAGTGGATGTAGTATAATCAGATTCAAAGTCAGATTAGGAACCAAGATCACATTAGGGAGCCAAGGCTCCTACAGCCAGATTAGAACTAAAGTAACCTAGAATGGTTCCATACTTACTGACTAGTTATTTCAATTAATTTTCATCTACCACTGTTCTTACCATTCTTTGGTTTCCTTGTTGATATCAAAGTACTAAATCCATTTTTAAGAGCTTGGAAAAGTTTTCTAGTGAGCTCTCAAATGGCAATTGAAATTACTTCCAAATTATTGATAGAAATGAAGTTGTACCTATTTGAAGCATGGGAGCAAGGTGGCCGTGTTATAAAGAAATCGTGTACAAGGGTAAATCTGAAGTTTTTCAGGCTGACGTCAGCAGGCAGTGTCAGAAGTGAAGATGGCTTCACTGAGTAAATGTCGTATCATAGCAAGCAACCCATCCCCAAATCAGAATTACACTTGGAGAAACTCATGTAGCCGTAGTTCAGTAGATGATACACTGCATGGTTTATACAGTGTGTGGGATGTTATTCCTGACAGTAGCCTCCCAATTCTTGTTAGTTCAATAGTGTTATTAATGTCAATACAGGCTGAGCATCCCTAGCTGAAAATTCCAAATGCTCCAAAACTCAAAATATTTTGAACAGTGACATGATGCCACGAGTGGAAAATTTCCTCATGATCTCATGCGACAAGGCACTATCAAAATGCACAGAATCCCGGGCTGGATAGATGGTTCAGCAGTTAAGGCCACTTGCACTTTTGCAGAGGACCCAAGTTCAGCTCTCAGTGCCCTACACTTGTGAGGGCCTCATTACTGCCTGAAACTCTAGCTCCAGGGGATCTGATGCCCTCTTCTGGCCTCTGAAGATAACCACACACATAACAAACATTCACACAAACACACAAACACAGACACACACACACACACACACACATACACACAAATAAAAACATTAAATCTTATTTTAAAATGCAGATATTGGCAGCCTCCTATAAACTGAACCCAGGAATGGCCCTTCACCAAATTTATGGCAGGAGGTTAACCAGAACTTGAACTAAAACCCCCAAAGGGTAGGAGGACCCCTTTATCCATCCTTCCCAAAGAAGCCAGGGTCTTCCTCTGCATCTGTCCTGACATCCATCAAACCCCTGAGGGAGCACTAAAGCCTCATCCAGTTCAGCCCCTTGGAGAGGCAGCAGCCTTCTACCTGAGAGGCTTTGCTTGTTCAAAGTCAGCCCATTGTAGACAAGTACAGAACATTTTGTCAGAGAAGTTCCCACTGGAACCATCCCTCTTCTTCAACCTGGTCTTTGTCAACAAAGTACTTGACTTCCTCCCTGACCCAGATGTGCTATAGACTGAACGTTGTCCTTGTAGCTTCCCAGACCCTACCCTTCAGCAGTTAATCTGAGCTGGGCAGGCAGTGTTTGACAGGCTGAAGCCCTGGCCCACCTATACCCAAAGTGGACTGTTGAGTTGGTTCTCCAAGGTTACCACTTCCCCAAGGGGGCAGCTGCTCTCCATACCCTGTCCTTGGCATATTCCCCCATGTCAAGTCCTGGTGCCTTTACTCCAGGCCTTCCTTTGTGGCAAGGCAGAGGCCTGACCCCTTGAGGGCTCTGTCCTTGACTTTGTGTTGTTGCCTTCTATGTGGACCTACCTAACCTATCTCAAAGAGCCCAGTGGTTACAGCCATTCTTCCTGGGATGGGGAGAGAGGCCTCCTTGAGATCAGTGTCCTTCTGTTCTGAGCTGGAACTTATCTTTTTACCCCAACAGCAGCCCCTGCAGGCTTCTTTGTTCTTTGTTCATATGTTGAAGTTAATTTGAACTGGCAGCTTTTATCGACCCGTGTGTTTAAACTATTGCATCAAAAGGCTTTCTTCTAAAAAAAAAAAACGAAAAAGAAAGTCATTTAAAACATTGTGTAAAATTTCCTTTAAATTATGTGTACAAGGTTTATGTGAAATAAATGAAATATGTGTGTTGAGTTTGGCGCCATACCCAGACATCCCATTGTCTGTATGCTGATACTCCAGACCCTGAAAAACAGTTCAAGTCTGAAATACTCTGGGGTCTATCAGTTCAGTTAAGACATTGTCAACCTCTAACTAAAATCGGTTAGTATTACAGTGCTCTTCAAATCAGAACCTTGGGTATCCTGAGGGGCAACAATACAACTCACCAGACTAGACAGTGTCTATTTAAGTGTCTATTAAAAGGCTATGTTAGCTCTAGACTTACAATGGTTTTTGCTAACGATCACAGGTTAGACCTTAAGGATGAAGACTGTGTTAAATGCTGATTCCAATACTCTTTACTAGGGACAGAAAAATTCTATATTTTTCTTATGAATATTAGTCAGTCTGAGAGTGAAGACAGTTCTTCTACAGGAAGAAGTAATATATTCTAGATAGCATTTACTATCTCTAGGGACTTTGAATATTAGTGTATATAGGAGACCATATAATTCACACACATAAAAAAGTGATCTATTACAGAGATTTTTCTAGATCAATGCTGATTGGTTTTAACCATTCTTTTTCTTTATTCTGCATCACTGTTCAACTTTTAATTCTCTTCTTTTCGCTCAGATACTGTTCCCTGTCAATAGAATGCAAGCATTCTAGGGCAAGCATCTTTTTATTTACTAATGAACATGGGTCATCTAGAGCAATGCTCGCTGAAGGGTATGCACTCAGCAAATACAGTAAATACCTTTTAAACTTAAAATGAGAGCAGGATTTAAGTATGTCAAAACTCACTGTTTCAGGGAAAGAAACAGTTCAAGTTAAAAGGCCCTTAATGCAGCCCAAGTACCCAAGATTATTCAGTGTTCTCATCTGTATTTTTATTTCTCCTTTTTCCCTTTAATATTCTGTCAGAGGTCTGGTATTTTAGAGCATAATTATTAAGAAATGTGTCGTCCACTCTCAGATTATGAACGTCCTTCGTCCTTCAGGATTTAGTAATGTCTCAAGGCTTACTTGATTTTGTTTATGCAGCAAAGATAAGTTTTGGACTTCATTTGTCTCAAAAATCTAATGGATTAGCACAGTAATGAGAGCAAATGAAACTTGCCACATGGTAAAACTGTCTGGAAAAGCAAGCTGCAAAGTTCTGCTTTGCTTCAGAATCATAACGTAATCAGACAGTTCTCAATTAAATATTAGTACTCCGTCCAGGCTATTTTTAGACTGCATCTTAGTATGATTTCATTTTTACTTCTAAATTCCTAGATTGCTTCCCAAGTATGCCAAATTAATTTGGGAGAGGTGGGGCATCAAAAAATAGCATGCTAGAACAGTGCATAAATGTCATACAGTTTTTTTTATAGAATGACCGAAATTTTAAGTTAAAAAATGAATGTCTGCCAGGCATGGTGGTGCATGCCTTTAATCTCAGCACTCGGGAGGCAGAGGCAGGTGGATCTCTGAGAGTTCAAGGCCAGCCTGGTCTACATAGTGAGTTCCAGGACATCTGGGGCTACAGGGAGACCCTGTCTCAGAAAAAAAAAAAAAATGTCAGATAATAACTGAAAATTGCTTAATCCTGGCTCTAAATCAGTTCACACTAACCTAGGCAGGGGATTTCTGAAGGCCTGCTGTCCTGTAGCGAATGCAATTTTAAATTATCCATGACTTAAAAATGAATGGAGCATTGTTTTGGTTTTGGGGTTTTGGTTTGGGTTTTTTTTTTTTTTTCTCTCTCTTTTTTTTTCTAACAGGGTCTCATTAGTCCCAGTCTGGAACTCACTGTGTAGACCAGGCTGGTCTAGATCTCACAGAGATATGCCTGCCTCTGCCTCCTGTGGGGTATGCAACCAGAGCATGATTTTGTAATAAGCAGAATAGCTATCAAAAATGAGGGGCAACAGAAAATTAAGATGGTACTTTTAAAAAATTTAGTTGTGAAGAAAACGGGAATTTTAAAAAAAATTAACTCTTTTCCATGATGATATGCTAGACTTGAATAATCAGTTCAAGTGTGCATTCTTGGAGTGCTAAGAGATCCATCATGACAACTTTGACTGCTTTGATGTGGACATCAGAATGAGCACTTGTCCTGCTCTCCATCTACATTCAGCTGCATGGTGTCCCCATTCTGTATTGAACTAAATAACCAAAGTTAGCTCATATAGTCCTTCAAATTTAAGCTATCAGAAAACAAGTGAATTAAGGATTTTGATAATTGGCCAGTAGTGGAGGCCCATTCCTTTCATCTCAGGAGGCAGATGCAAGTGGATCTTTGTGAGATCTTGGCCAGCCTGGTCTATATAGCA